GTCTGGCATGATGTTGGAGTCTGTTCAGCGTGAGATGAAATAGGTTAAATCACACCATGACCTGAGACTGACTGCTGCCTTGTTTTCATTCCTACATAACCTACTCTGTCTCTGCTCTCTGATGTGTTTATATGACTGGATTAGGTCGGCTGGGATGGAAACAGAACAGAAAGTATGTATCGGAAAAACACCAAAAACAATGATTTATCTGGACCACTGTAAACTGATAATAACCACAGTTAATAATTCAGTTAATCTGATTTCCTGATTTTTACATTTGAAATCCAGGCGTCAAAAAGTTATCCTCTGCCAAAAGTCTGTTTGCATGTGATGCCTCCAGCTGTTCTGCAGTTTCAACACCAGTTTGATCATCTGTTCTGAATTTGAAGCACTCCACACTTTAAATTTTCACCTCAAGGGTTTGTGCCGAGCAGCCGGTCACGATGTTTCTCCCTTTGTGTGTGTTTGTGTATGTGAGAAGCTAAAAGCTGCCTGTATGGGTTATTTTGCTCTTGAACGTGCATACGTGTTTATCACGAAGAAATGTGAGCCTTTCTACTGTAGGTTTAAGTATGTTTGTGCATCACTGGGGGGCACTACAGAGATCACAGAATCCTTCTGGTCTAGAAAATCCTCGGACTCAACATAGCGGTCCCTGTGGGGCCTGGCATGTTGTGCCTGTGGATATGTGAAACAAAGTGACAGAGGAACCAGCCTTCTGATATTGACTGATGGATAGACCTGCCTGTCCTAACCCGCAGATGGAACACTCTTTTTTTAATATATCCTGATGCATCTCAGTAATCCAGGTAGGAAAAAAATCAAAAAGAAAAAATAAGTAGGTCCTCTGGATGGGTTCTTCTTTAGTGAAACGTTTCATCTCTCGTCCAAGAGACTTCTTCTGTCTGATGAGTTTCAGGTGAACTCAGCCTTATAAGCACTGCTTCCACCTGGACAAACAGGTTAGTCACATGCAAAAGAGGGCCATCGCCTAACAATAGGCTTGATTGTGAACTATGAACAATAGAGCTAATCTTTCTTTTTGGTTTTTTTAAAATAATTTTTTATACTTCAGGGCTTCCTGTAAGACCACGTCCTGCTGAGTGAAGACCGACGCTTTCTTGCCACTTAAAAAATAGTAGAGAGGCTTATGTAATGCCTCTCCTTTTGTGTCTTAACACAGGCGGTGCAGCCCCACCACCCAACAACAAACTTCAAATTTACCAGCATGTTTAAATCCTTATCAAAGACCTCTGCTGCCAGACAAACTTCTGCATCGCCACTTATCTTATGCTGAAAAATGCCTGCTGGAAGGCTTTTTTAATAAATGGTGGGAGGGAGGACCTTTGTTGGATTCAAGGAGACTTAATCAGTCATATATAAGTAAACAGAGCCTGAATGGAGCACTTCAAAAAGGTTGTTTTTTTAAACTGCAGCCAAATGTGAAGCTGCATTGATGTTTTTTTTAAATATTTTTATTCTGTGTGTGTGTGTGTGTGTGTGTGTGTGTGTGTGTGTGTGTGTGTGTGTGTGTG